GGGAGTGGGGATTAGTGAGGAGTGGAGTGGGGGGGCTTGGGGATTAGCAGGGAGCATTGCTGCGCCCCGCTGACCCGGCTCCGCTCCCCAGCCACGTCCCCGCAGCCATGGCGCGGCCCCTGAGCGACCAGGAGAAGCGCAAGCAGATCAGCATCCGCGGCATCGTGGGCGTGGAGAACGTGGCGGAGCTGAAGAAGGGCTTCAACCGGCACCTGCACTTCACGCTGGTCAAGGACCGCAATGTGGCCACGCCGCGCGACTACTACTTTGCCCTGGCGCACACGGTGCGCGACCACCTGGTGGGGCGCTGGATCCGCACGCAGCAGTACTACTACGAGAAGGACCCCAAGGTGGGCTGGGCTGGGCTGGGCTGGGCGGGGGGCAGTGCGGGATAGGGGGCATGCAAGGTGTGAGCGGAGCCTGGCACCTCTCCTTGGCGAGAGCAGGATGCGCTGATCCATCCCTGGGGTCCCCACAAGCGTGGTGCACTGAGCAGGAAGCCCCCAAGCTGCAGAAAAGGGGTCCCACAACTAAAGTAGGACCCTCCTGGGGGACCCCAGCCCGGATGACTCCCGAGAGACCTGGGAAAGGCTGAGAGAGCTCGTGTCACTGACTCTGGAGAAAAGGCGGCGGGAGGTTTTGGCTGCATCTTTAAGTACCTGAAGGCCGGTTCCAAAGGGTGTAGCAACTGTCTTCCTTCATGGCTGCAGGGGACAGGACTAAGAGCAACCGTCTTGCATTGCAACACCGGGACAGTTAGGTTGGAGATTACAGCGTGCTCTCACAACACGTTAGCGGGCGGCCCAGAGAGGTGGTGCATGCTCGTCCTAGGATGTTTGCAAAGGCAGCTCACACCTGGCGGGGAGGGTTGGGTCACAGATGATCCTGTCTGGAGCAAGGGGCTGGACTAGGATGACTTCCTGAGGCCTTGCCTACCCTACTATTCTGTCCATGCCTTGAATAAAGCAGCCAGCTCTGGTCCCCACTCCTCAAAAAGGAGCTAGAAGAAGTAGAGATGGGCTTCCCTGCGAGGAAAGACTAAAGAGGCCAGGCCTGCTCGGGTGGGAAAAGAGACGCTTGAGGGGGAGCATGAGAAGGGTAACTGGCAAAGAGAAAGCGAATTAGGGATTTATTACTTACTATCTCAATACAAGAACTAGGGGTCACAAAATGAAACTAGCAGGTAATCAGTTTAAAACCAACACAAAGACGTTCTTTTTCACACCACGTGGTAAAGGGTGAAGCTCGTTGCCACCAGACGTGGTGGAAGCCGACTGCTTAGCCGGACTGACCGAGGGGTTGGGCACGTTCTTGGAGGAAAGGGGCATCGGTCGCTATTGAGCACGGGAGTGAGGGGCACGGCCTCTGCATCAGAGCTTCCTAGACCTGCAATGCTGGAAGCTGCAAGGGAGAGAGAACGGTGGAAAAAATCCTGGTCAGGCCCTGTTCATTCTCCCTTTCAGCATCCGCTCGCTGCCTCTGTGACCCAGGATCCTGGGCAAGATGGACCTAGGGTCTGACTCAGTTAATGGCGCTTACTTTGTTCTTATGATCTGCCCGAATACCCCCCGGATCAAGCTTTCCTACCTGTCCCCTTCCCCTCCCTTTGGATCTGTGTGGAGATGGGGGTCCCTTTTGGGAAGGGGGGGATCTGCTCTCCTGTTTGTGTTGGAGTTCAGGTGCTCTGCTTCAACAAGCCAGGCTGCTTTAATTTGCTCAGGAGCGAACAGGACTTGGTTGGGGCCTTCGTACAGGGCTGGGCAGTGCTGTTTACTCCCTCGCCCTGCAGCCTTCCTCGGGCAGTGCCGGCGGGGTGCGGTCTATCAGATGTTCCCGGAAGAGCCTCCCAGCGTCTGGAGGAATGCAGTTGGCCACACTGCCTGGTTCCTGATCCTGCTTGAAAGAAAAGTGAAATGGCTTTGCAGCCTGAAGTGCAGCTGCCTTCTTGTTCGGGCTTGGGGCTGGCTTTGAGCAAGCCATAAATGCTTGGCAGACAGTACATACATGCGCAGCCCCTCCCCACGGCAGGGGGTGAGGCTGCTTGAGCCCCGTCCTCCAGTTGTCCGTAGGTGCTGCCTGCTAATTTTGTTGCTGAACTTTGCAACACAACGTTCATCTCTTTGTGTGCTCAGGTCACCTTTCCCAACTCTGGCCCCTATTGCTGTGCTATAACTAGGAAACCAAAGAGCACAGGGGGGTTGTGCATTTTGGGTTTGCATGAATAAAGCTTTGCAGGAGACTTGCATAGTGCCTCATGCAGCCTGCGGCACTGCCTGCCCGGGCCTGAGAGCAGGAAGGGGGAAGGCAGAGAGGAAAAGGTTGGCCCTGAATGAGGGAAGAGATGGAGCAGTCTCTTGTATTTTGTGGCTGTGTTCCTCTGAGGTCCTTGCTAGCCCACTCTGAATTAATCTGGGCACAGGACTGCTGTTGTCAGTAGATTAACCAGTAATCCTGTTTGCTGCATTTGAAAACCCATCCCGATCTATTGATCTTAGTTACCTGTTGTGAGGTTTGCCCTGCCAGCTGCGATGGCTTGCGACACCTGTAGGTGCCTTTGATCTTTTGGTGCCATGCACAGTGTGGTAGAGCCCTGGTCCCTCTCTGGGAGCTCTTAGCTTGGCTGTAGCATCCGAAGTAGCGAGCATAGGAAGAAACCAGGGTCTGCAGATCCAAGCTCCTGTTGGTGGTTTAGAGTATTTGCCTGTTGGGTTTGAACAGCTCTGAGGCCCAGTGTGTGCACTGCAGTCTGTTTGGTCCAGGAGGTGAAGTCTGCTCCATCTCCTTTCACCAGTACACGCAGGGCCAGGGGCTGCCCTACATCCAGCTGTGTGCCCTTCCCAGGGACAGCCGTGGGACTTTGTTGCAGGTTACGGCTCTCAAACCTCTCTGATATCTTGTTCAAACAAAGCTCAGCCTCTTCCTCCCTTGCTGCTGCCAGGGCCCTTCCATTCCCTCATGCAAAGATTAATTGGTTTAAAATAGCAGCGAGGCTAGAGGGCAAAGTGTTGGAGGGAGAAACCAGGCCCCTCCATACCTCCAGGGCTTCCAGCAGCTGTCCAAAACCCTTGCTCTGCCTTTTAAACAGGAACAGGCAAAATTGCAGCAGACTAGAGAGCGTTTCTCTGGGGTTACAGCCATAAGGGCTCACCACTCCTTTTAAAGTGAAGCAGAAACCTGTGGTTTAGATCCCAACACTGGCATGTAGGGTCTCTTAAGCTGTGCTTATTCCAAACCAAAGTACTTGTTAGTAATAGAGATTTTTTTTTTTAATTTCCTCCAGACTAACACCTTGTATACAAAGCTCTAAAAACATTCCTGATCCTATAAACAGGTCCTATTACTCACTGCTTTAAAAGATGCTAAATTTGGCCAGGAGCGGGAGAAATACTCCCGTAAAAGAACTGTTTGCTGTTAATGAAGTCCCTGACTGTTTGGTTGTTCTTCTTTCTGTGCTTCAGAGAGTCTACTACCTCTCGCTAGAATTTTACATGGGCCGGACCCTGCAAAACACCATGATCAATCTCGGATTGCAGAATGCCTGCGACGAGGCCATTTATCAGGTAAGCCTGTTTAGATGAATGGTAGTTAATCACTAGTTTAGAGAGTCACAGGAGAGAGAGAAGTACTGTGAATGGAAGTAATCTAGTCTATTTAAACATTAAACCCAAGTCCAAGGTTGCTAGGGATATCAGCTGGTCGAGTATTCAAAAACTTCTGGTTATGGAAGGAAGTGACTTTGCCTTTGCCGTCAACAGCTTGCACGTATTGCTGCATTTATAGCACTTCAGTATCTGGATAGGCCTCTGGAGAGTGACACCCAACTTCCTCTTCAAACAGGAGCGTAAGCATGGCGAGTCCCAACTGCCCGAGGCTTGTGTCTGATCTCTGACTACAGAATTTGCACGTCGTGTTTTCTCCTTGGCTAATGAGTACCTATGGAAACTGCTCTGTAAATCCAGAGTGACTCAACACTGCCGTGTAGCAGAACCAGGGTGTGTTGTACACTGACTTCTCACAAATTGAGCTGTAACCTGGTCTGAGGTTTGAGTATAATCATTCAAAGCCTTTTGGACCCAATTTGATACTCCCTGATATAAGGAGTTTTATAACTCCATCAGGTCCAGCAGATCAGGGTTGTCTTTGGTCCTCTGTTAGCAGACTAAGCTGCTAATTGTACTTGTGGTTGTGTCACGTGGGACCAGCCAAAATGGTTGTGGTCCCATGTGATGCAGAAAATGCTTATTAATAGCAGTCAAGAAATGGGCCAATAAGCAGTCGGATAGTATAGTACAGTGGTGGATGCAAAGTGTGTGCTGTGGTCGCATGCTGACTTGGCCCGTAATCTTGGAATCAGCTCAGTGTCTCTGTGGCCTTTGTTTTTCAAGGTGCTGCAGCAAATAGCATGGACAGTTGAAAAGCAGGGCCTTGCAGCTATTAAACACAGTGGAAAAAGAGAATTCCATCCACTCGGTGGTGATAAATATATAAAGAAGAGTGGAAAGTTTACCACAGGCTTGAGATGACTAATGCACACTGCTTGGCTTTGCTCCCCCATTCATCATTGTATAACAGTTGCACTCAGACCAAAGTTTTGCAAACAGTAGTCTACCCTTTCAGTACTCCTGTACTAATGTCTGAGAGCACTTCAATGCATGGCATTTTTAAACGGGTTTTTGAACACATGGCTCATCTTTTGCAGAGTAGTTTTGTTTAATTTGTGTCTTCACCTACCAATAACATGGATGGCGTAGCAGCGAGGCCCAAGATGACTTTAAGAGGAAGGAGGTGCAACAAAGAGAATGTCATACGTATGGAAATAACTGGGATACGCTCTTCTGGTTGTTTGGAGAAGACCTTTTAATTGAATTATCTTTACCTGCTTAACACATAGTGCTTTCATTTTTTTTTTTTAAAAAAACCCTCTCTACATTTGATAAATTAAGCCAGTATGAACTTGTTGGAGAAATATAGGGCAGGAAGGGACCTCACGAGATCATCTAGACCAGCTCTGTGGTCAAGGCGGGATCATCCCTGACTACACTAGCCCAGCCAAGTATTTGGCAACCTGTATTTAAAAACACCCAAGGGTGGAGATGGAGTGGGACCTGGTGGCTTTACACTTCTGGTGTCCACTGTGTCTGGCAAAGATTCAAGAGGGAATTTGGTCCTCAGCATCTATCTGCTCGTCACAGCCGCAGAGATGAGGTTTGTGAATCTAAATTCAGGTTAGTCCAGCGTCGAGTACCGTGTACTCCATTTAAGTGCATACCCTCAGGATCGGAGAAGCAGCAGTGCTTTTACCCAGACCTAACAAGTGCTGTTTGCTGAGTGCACAGTGCCATGGTATTAGTGCTTCTCCTGGGGCAGCCCTGAGGCTGAGTAGCTCCCATTGCTTTCAAGGCATCTAATTCCAGCCCTTTGATAGCTGCCTTCCCTTTCCTGTTTCTGGTGCAGCTAAATAGGGTAGAATGGGTGAGGAGGCAGATGGCTGCATGTATGGTAAGTGTGCAGCTAACGGGAGTACAGCTAGTTACCATCTAGGCACTGGGACTGGAAGATGCTATGCGCTTAAGCAATTTGCACATAACTGCTAAGTGGAGCCAGTTGCTTACTGCTCCCACCCTAACAAAACGAGACGAAAACTGTTATGCGGTTACACAAATTGTGCGTGTATGTGTGTGCATGAGTGTGTGTGCTGACCCTGCCTGTCAGCTGGTGAGGAAAGGATCCTGTTGCTGCAGTTAGCAAGGTTTACAGGTGCTTTGTGGGGTCCCACACCGCTCTTGCTGCCTCGTGGCAAAGTGCTGCTGTGAACGTTTGTTCTGCCCGGCGTTCCTGGAGCTTGCACGTGTTTGTGTTCGTAGCTGGGGCTGGACATAGAGGAGCTGGAGGAAATTGAAGAGGACGCTGGCCTGGGCAATGGAGGTCTCGGAAGACTGGCTGGTAAGTGAGTTGCGGGGAAGTTTTCCCCAGCCATACCGCAAGTGTTGGGCATCCTTACACTTAATGCAAGGAATGTGATCTGGTGCATCTGCTTCATGGCAGTATCAACGCACCCCAATATGGGCCCCGTTGTGTGAGGTGCCAGGTTGCATGCGGTCCAATGACTGTCACCCCCACCCCTGACGGTACTACAAGCAGGTAAAACACCTTGAGGTGAAGCAACCCTGACTAGCATCATTTGCGGCAGCCTCAGCGTACTGGCTGCCTGCTCATACGTGTTGCGTGAACAGCGCTGCCTTTCTGCATTGCAGATGTTGCACACAATGCTGGTGACAGGGGAACTTTGCATTTGGGTGTAAGCCATTGGGCCATTAGTTTGTCCCTTAGTGTGCCCTTTTGGCCTTTCCTAACTGCAGGAGAGCTTCCCATTTCCTTTCATGCGACTGGAGGGGACTGTCAATCCAGGTTCCTATGCTGGCTTTGAGCTGCTCCTGTCCCCCCTCCCCCCAATAGTTCAGATACTCGGAGGCTTTTCTCTGGGCCTCCGTCTTTCTGGTTTTGCCCCTTCTTAAGTAGGACCCACGGTGGTTTTGGAGTGGAACCATGATGAACCGATGCCATTACACAGCGTCCGCGTCCAGGCACTGCCTTGGTAGAATTAGTTGCTGCACAGAAGGCAGAGCCGGCACTCTTAAAATGGGGACTTTGGAAACATCAAGCTTACCACCCATCAAACCCCGTGCTGGGAGGCTTGGCTCACCCCTACTTACACTTGTTTCCAACAGCCTGCTTCCTGGACTCCATGGCGACACTGGGGCTGGCAGCGTATGGGTATGGCATACGCTACGAATACGGGATCTTCAACCAGAAGATCCGGGATGGATGGCAGGTATGGACAGGCAGAGTCTCTTTGCTTCCCCCTCCCTCGGGACTGAAAGGATGTTTCCTCCGAGCAGCAGGAGACACTTGCAGAAGGCATGTTCTCCAGCTCGAGGGCTTCGAGTTTTACTTAGGCAGCAAAGCTGGATTTGCAGGTGCCAATGCCAGAAGCAGTTTGCTACTCACTGCTGAAGCATGCCTTGAAAGCCTGAAGAGTGTGCATGCGTGTGTAACAGAAAGGATTTTCCTTCCTTGCCCTTAAAGGAAAATTAATCTCTTATTCCCTGCCCTGCAGCTGGCACACTTACAAGTGTATCTTAGACCCTCAACACCAAGTTGCACTGTTGCTTGATCTAGAGTGTATGCATGTGCACGTGCAAGAGGGATTGTAGGCCGTTCTTTCAGAAAGGGAAGTTGTTTTTGACTTGGGGATGGGGCTGTGACTTCTGCTGCCCATTTCCATTTTCTTCCTGTCAATACAGGAAGAAAATCCTTTCTTTCTACATGTTTCTCATTGCCCCTCCACCTGCCCCCCGCCCCAGTAAGCTCTCCAGTTGGACTAGCCCTCATGACTGTAGCTATCTGATCTGATGGGTGATCAGACCGTATTGCACTGGAGAATCCCAGGCTCTCTGCTCAGAGGTTTGATCCTGCATGCTGGGGAATGTGCTCTCTGTATTGCAGGAGGGTGCATAACCCCAGTGTAGGCTGCAGTCCCATTGTGGCTCCATACAGATGGAGACCAGATGTGCACGGTCCCTTCCCTGCAGTCTAAACAGATTGAGCAGAGGGAGAAAGGAAAGGTTGCTGCTGTCCTATCAATGGGAAGTCCTAGAAGCATAGGAAAGTAGGGTGGAAGGGACCTCGGCTCCCCAGAGATCAAAGGGGGAGTTTTAGAGTCAGAAAATGGAGCCAGATGTTTTGAAGGTCCCAACTCGGTGCCTTAAATGAAGCTGTTCTTCCTCTTGGCTTCATGGGGCCTGGCCTAAGAGCAGGAAGCAGGGAAACTGCAGCCCACAATAGAGCCTTTGCTTGTTGACTCTTGCAGAAATCTGTGTATAGCTGAGTCATACAGAAAATCATGCCTGTGAGAGGCCTGTGAGCTTTCCCTGGCAGTTGTTTTCTGCCACATCCGCCTGGGCCGGAGCAGTTCTTCCTCACTGCTCTGAAACCGTACTCAGGACTCGCAGCAGCTGCTTCCTTATTGAACAGAGGAGGAGCATTGGGCTGCAGGAGAAAGCTCCTTGATTTTTTTGCATATCTTTGAAACCGGTGCAGAAATCCAGGTTAAGACAGAGCTCGAAACCAGTGGGTCGTTGAACTGGGGGAAAGCCAGCACGAAGGCGAGCGATATAAAGAAGTCGCGGAGTGGCACAGAGCCCTGCCTGATGCTCAGGACACAGCCCTTCCTGTCCACCCGCAGAGCTGCAGCTCCTCTCCAAAGTCTCATCTCAAGTCCTGCAAAATCCTTTCCTCCGGCCTGAGCAAATGCAGCTGTTTCTGCTTTGCTCGTGTCTGTGCAGAGTGGTACCCGTCACACCTGGGCAGAGCTCCCTGCTTACATCCGCAGAGCTACCTCCCCATCCTCCTGCAGAGCCCTGCTGACCCCTCCCCCTTGCTGGGAGCCCTGCAGAAACTTAACAGCAGTCAAGCTGCCGTAGCTGTATGGCTGTTGCCTGCCATTCCCCTCGTATTTCCCAGCTCTTTTTGTCTCGTACTTAGGCTCCTAGTACTTTGGGACAGGAGCCAGCTCTTATTTGTGTTTGTGCAGGGCCGGGCAAAGAGGGGTGCCTGGCCTCTGACTGAGGCTCGTCGGCCCTAGGGCAGTGCAAACAGTACATGGGAGCTCTCTGCTAGCTAGAGTCCCTGCCGTCCTGCTCGGATGGCCCTGGGGTGCCTTTGTTGAAGTACATGGCATGTTTGTTTAAGTCTGTTCAGCTCCGCACGTTTGGCCTTGGAGCTTATGAAAGCTGGAGGTGATTATCCTGAGTCCTCTGACTCATAGGGAGAGGGGTGACGAGCTGTATAAACAGTGGAGAAGCCAGCGTGCGCAGCTGGGAGCCTTGTTCTTATTGCAGAGCCGCAGGTTACACAGCGGGCCAGGGGACTGAATTGTTGCCTTGTCCTGACATGGCCCATCCTCTGCTCTCCTAACCTTTCCAGGACTGCTGTCTCCCCTGGAGCTCTGGTTTGGCGGCATGAAGGCGGTGTCTGATCTTGGAGCTTTCTCCTAGCTGCCTTTCTGCATTGAGCCACCATCCAGCTTCATTAACAGGTGCCAGGATGAGATTCTGATTAAATAACCTGTCCTCTCCTGTCCCTCTAGGGAGATCCAGTTGAGTTAGCACTCCTGCAGTTCCCTATTTGTTCTGGAAAAAGACCTGGCATTAGGCTATTGTAATCACCTTTGTCCAGAAGGGATGTTCTCTGTGCGTATTCACGAGTCTGGACAATATGCAGCGGCCTACACAGACTGGTATTTCCGGAGAGGGAAGGTCTTGCATGGTTGTGGAGGTCTGATTTAAAATAGTCTTTAAGCTGCAGCGTGTGGTTTTTTTGGGACATGGGGGAATTATTAACCGAGACTCCTGCAAATTGATAACCAGGGTTCAGTTCAGAGGTTACAAAACAGCGGTGCAGCTAATCCAGGATTGTCAGCGAGAGCGGTGACAAGGGGTGCCAAGAACCTGAAACGGAGCCCTCCATGGGGCTGTCCCATAAAACCCAGCCTGTAGCCCCATAAAGGGACTGGCTCGATCTTCCAGCGGGCTTAGTTTTACCTCCTCTGAGCTGGAAGAATGGAGTCGATCTGCCCGGTCGTGTCTGCCCATGTGGTTACCGTGGTGTGCATATAATTTGTGCTTTGCCTGGGGCCAGAATTTAAGACGTTGGGTTTTCTCCATCGAGTCAGCAGCCTGTACCTTCCTTCAAGTCCCTGCTCAACCATTCTAGCCCTGAATCTGAGGAATGGGCCTGTTTATTTGCCTACTCACTGTTTCTGCAGCTAATGAACTTGCCAGTTCTTCAAGCATCCAGAGGAGAGGCCCCCAAAACATTGCCTTTATTTAGGAGTCATGAAAACGATGCTATTCTCACCCTTGTCTCCACGGTTGAAACCTCCATGGGACTGTATCTGGCTTTGGGCTTTACAAAATGGAGACCTCTTTAGGAGGGTTTCCTTGAAGTCTGGCGTGGGACGGCTCGGAAGTGAGGTATGGGCTTGGTGCTTGCAGTTTTAATATTTGAGAGAGCAATGGGGGTCCAGTTCCCCCGGCTGTCTGTGGGCACCCAGCAGCCCCTGGAAGTCTTCCCCCGTGCGTATGACATTTACTCCCTGTATACCTGCAGGTCTTCTGACTCTTAACATATGCAGTTGCTTGACAAACCCTGTTTTTCTAGGCACCGCTGTGGAATGGAGAAGTAGACTAGAGAGAGAGAAAATGGTTGTTGCAGAGGAAGTGACACAACCTGCATGTTCTCTCCAAAAATGACACGGCCAGAGTCTCTCTTCCACCCGCTCACCTGCCGACCTCAGTCTATAGGTAGAGCAAGCTCTCTTTGCCCCCTGATGTTTATCCTAGGTTATTCTTCCAGTTGAAGTTGTAGGACCGCCGGTCACTTCTTTTCTGCTCCCTGAGCTGCTCTGACCTCGAGCGGTCTGCTTGCTGGTGAAGTAATGCAGTGAGTGAAGGGTAGCAGAGTCACGGCAAGGTATTGCAAGAGCCACCAGTAATCACATAATTAGACCGGCATGCTCTTAGCTCCGTGACCAAAACTGACACTTAATCAGCTTCAGGCTCGGATGAAGCAGAAGGCTGCTTTTCCCTTCTCATCTGGATGATACAACAGAGCGATCAGCCAGAACTTTTGACCCTGGCACCGGGTGAGATGTCCTCTGCTCTTCTGCGCCTCGGGCACTAAAGCAGGGCAGAGCCTAGTGTGAAATCTCTGGTTGATGCAACCGCCTGATCCGGCAGTGGAACGGACCGCATAGTATTTCAAGGTGTTGCCTGCAGCTACTGCCCTTGGCTGCTTTAGGGCCCTATCTTGAACTCGTCAGGCTTTCCTTTTCTTTCTCTACGTTCACCTTAAAAATAAACTCACTACCCGAAAAAAAATTCCCACTTTTCCCCTTCCTCTTTTCCCCAATGGAGAGAATAAGCTAAGCCAGCTTGCTCCTTCAGTTGTGTGGCCAAGGTGCCATCTTCCTTTACCCAGAGCAGAACAACCCACGTGTTCTTGCTATGCCCATGAAGGGAATCTGCTCGTCTTGGTATTAGGCTTTGAACCCTAATCCAGCACTGTGCTGTGTCTCCTTCCCCACTTCATACTTGGAAATGACCCAGTTCTTGTTCTGTTCAGAGCTGAAGGCAATGCTGAGAGGTGCCCAACTCAGAGTGTGACTTTTGAGACCTGATCTTCAGAGTTTACTAGTCTTGAGCAAAATGCCGGTATTCTCCTTGTCCGGTAACTTTGCACATCTCTGCTATTCAGAACCATCTGAGAGGTTACATCAGCAGTAGGCCTCTTTTTTGTTCTGCAAAGCCCATTTTTCTAATGTGTTTGTGTGCTTCCCATTCATAACGTGCTCCGTGCTCATAATGCATGCATGCATCCTCAAGATCGCTGGCTTTTTAAGGTCTGTAGACTGCAACAAAACTGTACTATCTCTTTCTCTGTACTATTCCAGTCCTGTATGCTTCTGCAAAGGCTTTCAGTAAAGAATGCTTGATCGCAAGTAATGAGGCAGCAGTGACGTTCAGTTTGCTTGGGCTTCACAGTGCAGCCAGCAGAGACCTGTCTAACCATCTCTCTTCCAGGTGGAAGAAGCAGACGACTGGCTCCGGCATGGCAACCCCTGGGAGAAAGCCCGTCCCGAGTACATGCTGCCCGTCCACTTCTATGGGAAAGTGGAGCACACGAAGAGCGGGGTGAAGTGGGTCGATACGCAGGTACTGAGCTACGCTGGTGCGGGCTGGATTGTGCACAGCCGTTTTCTGCCTGTCAGAGGGTGGGACGCATGGTTTCTTACAAGCTACAACTTTGGATGTGGGGGTCTACGTGAACAAAATGTGGGGCAACACGGCTGTAGAGAAACTAATGCATCTTGGAGCCACTTAGCAAAGTAACTTGGTGAAGGATCTGAATTGGGAATCGGCTGAAGTGGTGTCCACAGTCTGTGGCTTATTCTTTCCATAAACGGCAGGAAGGTTCAACACAACCGCTTATCGATTCTTCCTAATTCTGTTGAGCCCCCATGTAGAGCATCCTGACAACCCAGAGTCATCTTTTTAGATGACTACAGAGCTTCTGACGGGGAGGGGGAAAGGTTGGATGTGCCACTTGCCTTTGGCCAACCGAAGGGGAGTAACCTAGTGGCAGTCAGCTATCAGCTGCAGAGGGGCTAAATAAATGTGTGGTGGAGGGAAGAAGGTTCTTTCCGTAGAAATTGCACTACTCATTTCTTTTGCAAACTCCTTGCTTTCCCATCATAATCAATAGGAATAGAAGACATCAGTGAGGTTCTCCCGGCTGTCGAATAGTGCCCTGTTCATTTCTTAGCTTATCTGCAGCATCTACGTGCTTGCTTCTTATAAAAGGAAGTTGCTGGTTGCAAATTAATGATCTGCAAACTTTTTTCTTTTCTTTCTTTTTTTAAACTAATATTCGGTGGGGAAAAAAACTATGTATTTGATATACTACTGCCCCTATCAGAAAGGCTCAGGGCAAATTCTAGTGAAAGACAAAATGGCTTTTATTAAAGCAGATTAAAATAAAGCTAAAATATAACAAAACACCCCCCAGCTATACCCCAAAACTTGAAAATCCCACCTCACCCTCTGCTCCCTTGCCTCTCGCTAGAAGAGCATTTCCTGCGCCCCCCCCTCCAACCTCTTCCCAGCTCAGCCTCACTTCCTCCATAAAAGATGCATTTTTTGCTATATTCCCTCCATCCCCACCCACTCCTCGTCCCCTAATGTCCCTCCTAAGCCTATGCCTCCCTCCCTCATGGGGGGCAGGGGAATGGCTGTCCCCAAAACCCACTCATCCTCTTCTTCCCCAACAAGCACTTTATTCAATTTTAAAGTATTACAGCAAGAAACTCCAGAAACTCCTCTGACCACATGTCTGTCACTGCCCCAGGGCACCATTTAGCATTGTTCCTTTAGCATTGCCCCAAGGCAGCGTTGGCCCAAAAGAGCCCCCCCAGGGAGGCCTGCTGGTTTTGCGGGGGCTGCAGTCTGGCTGGGCCCTTTTCCCCCCTCCAGCTCAGCTGGCAGGAGTGCTGGGTCTGCCCTTGCCTCTCCCTGGGCTCCCATCCATTTAACCAATTTGCACATGACACTAATGATCCCGTGAGCACCAGCATCGAAACACCACTGCATTGGGAAATGTTAAGAGTTAGAAGCGCTAAGGGATTGTGTGCACACATGGCTGGGATTGAAGCTGGTGGCTGTGGGACCTGGGATTATGCCTCTCCAGAGCTGTTTTCTGTGGGGTGCGAACTCCAAGCTACTGATGTACAGTCCAGATCCCCCCCCCCCCCCCAGCCAGGTGGGGGGAAGCCAGGTTGGTCCAGCAGAGCCCCTCCATGCTAGCTGTGGATTCACGCCTGTTCAGCTGTTTACGATGTCTTCAGAAGAAGGCACAATTAGCAGACGCTTCCTGCTGTGGTCAGAGAAAGGGAAGTTTGCAAGGTACTGCACAATCATGCTGCTGACAGGAAATGAGCTCTTATCACCCCAGAGGCTGGGTCTGGAAAGCCTGGCCCTTTATGCAAGCCCTGTTTTTAACCAAACATTTTAAAGCTCCTTCGACAGCAACTCCTTTGTTGGGCAATGTTGGCCGATGCCAGTCTGGAAGCTCAGAATTTAAAAGGTCGCTCTTCCACTTCCCTACCAGCACCCCAAAATGCAGGAGCCGCTGCCAATGGGCAATCTCTGAACAAGACCCTCGGTGCTGATGCTGGGGGGTAGCCAGGACTTGGGATGGCTGGGGGTCTCTGGAGCTGGTTGCAGACAGTACCTGGCTGGTCTGGGCGACTCCTGGCTGCAGACTGGAGAGGACAAGGGGTGACAGCCTTTATCTACCACTGACTTTTCTCCTCACTCCCCAGATTCTTTGCAAACCCATGAAATCTCCCCTTAACTCTGAAACCCAGGACTTTCCAAAGTAAAGATGCTCCAGTGGGTGTAACGGGGGATGACATCCTCACATGCGTCTAGGTACCTTAGATGCCTTCTAAAGCACAAGTGAATGATACCCCAGTAGCTAGCGACCCAATTACAATGCTCACACTGGGGGGCTATCAGTATTTTTCTTGACTGGCTTTAACTTGCTTTTCTAACTCAGGTTTATGCACTGTTTTCATGGCAGCCTTTTTTTTTTTAAGCTAGACAGAGGATCATGAACTTGGGAGTCTTTCTATTGACTGCTGTGGGGGCCGGCTAGTCTTCATCCATTGCACCTTCACTGATGTCTTGAAGGCTGTCATTTTGCACAGGGCATATGTGCACCGTGTGTTGTATGGACAGAGGCAGAATATCACGTGATAACCCTATCTTAATTGCCACCTCCCCTCTCATAAACAGCATCAGTATGAGTCCTGTGACTCTTGTGTTCCAGGTGGTCCTCGCCTTGCCCTATGACACCCCAGTGCCTGGATACATGAACAACACAGTCAACACCATGCGGCTGTGGTCTGCTCGGGCCCCCAATGACTTCAACCTCCGGGACTGTGAGTACTTCTTTGTTTGAGCATTAGCTTGCTGGTTTTCTCAGGCTAGTTGGGTTCTTTGGGGCAAGGGAGATAGCAGGGAGGGGTTGTAGTGAAATAATGGATAAAATGCACCTAAGGCCAAGACCAGAACGTGCTATTTATGCAACTTGAAACTCATGCAGAAGGGGGGAGTATGAGAAGCAAATGTGTTGAATGTGCACATTATTTTCTGTTGCATCTGCTAATGGCAATGAATGCATAGTTTTACTTGGTTGATGAGATATTCCATGCTTGCCAATCTGGCAGCACTTTCTTGGCTGAAGCTGTGTTTGTCTGAATGCCTTTGGACAAACGTAGCAGGAAGGAGAAGGCTCTGGGTTGTTTCCTGACCGTCCCACCGGCTGGTCAGCAAACCCGTATTGCTATTTTTTTTCCCCTATGTCCATCTAGCAGCCACCTCCCAAATGCCCTACACAAAGCCTGTCAAGCTGCTTGTGTGACGTGCAGTTGCACTGACTTTGTCATTCCCTCCTAGTTAATGTTGGAGACTACATTCAGGCCGTCTTGGATAGAAACATAGCTGAGAACATCTCGCGTGTCCTGTACCCGAATGACAACGTAAGTCGCCCACCTCCTTGGAGGCAAAGCTGGCTCTTCTTGAAACCTGCTAAAGATTCAACTGCCAGAGCCTCTTAGCTGGTGCTGTTCGAAACAAGGGTCCTTGCAACTAGGAAAAAGATTTATCTGGCTGTCAGCGTGGTTAGCAACCAGCGCTTTGTTTGCAGTGGGAGCATAAGAAACGGTAACAAAAGAACTAGGACTCCTAATAACTCCTTGATGCATTGTTCAAGTCTTGGCAGCGCACCAAAGAGAGGCTGAGATCCTGCTTCAAATGAAGCCAGATCTTCAAAGCCAAAAACTGGAGGGGCTGCTACTGCTGAAATTGCCGCTTGAGGCTTTTTTAATACTTTCCAGAGGCCACAAAAGCAGTTGGCTCGTAGGAGTCGCCTTTGGCTGGTATTACTCTGCGCCTGTAGTGGAAGGCATAAACCATTTCCAGCCTAAATCTGCCTTGCAAGTGTTTTAGAAGTATCGACAGTTCCTCTTTCTGCTGAATTTTGACACATCGTCTGCAAAAATACCCCCAAAAAACAAAACCAAAAACATTGGCGGCTTTGGTGTTGTTTTCCTTCAAGAAATGTAGCTGGCTGTGAATGAGCATGGGTTAGTTTAAGATGCTTGGGATTTTTAAAAGCTAAACTAGAACTTTATTTTCTTTTACCCAACAAAATCAGACTGTTTGCACCACTCGGCATTTCAAAAACCAGTTCGTACTAGAAGTGTCCAGTGAAAGTGTGGGTTACATTCAAACCTCACTTGAGCTTGTCAGACTTTCCTCCCTCCGCGCACCAAACTGCGGTGGTGTTTCTAGCAATCTTGCTGCCTTACATTGTTCTTGCAATAAGGCTAATGATGCTCGCCATCCCTCAACCCTTGCTACCAGGATTGCAGCAGTCAGGAAGGTTCGTGTCTGCCAAGGCCTGTTTTAGATGTAAATTCCTCCGGCCGTGAAGTATATTCAGTGTCCTTGATGACACATGAATCACTTTCATTGGACTTCAGCTATAAACCACTGGCTCAATCTGTTGCTCTTTATTTTAAGACAAATGGTACTGTCTAAAAGAAATCAGATGACTTCAGTATCTTTAAGCACATGTATCCATATAGGCTTCAAATAGCTTGGTTTCACTTGCCCAGAATCTCTCATCTAGCATTATTTTCTGGTTGTCTTATGTTAGCTCATTATAAGTTCGGGAACATTTTATGAAAATCCACCTTCAATTGCATCAAAAAAAAGAAGCAAAATAACTTAAGAAATCGGTTCCCTTGACAGTTGCAACTTGTGCTTCCAAATCATTTGTGCACTGGAAAATCCCACCCTGAAACCTCATTTTAAACTAAAAAAAACCAAAAAGTTGTGTGTTGTAAAATACTTGTCTCTAAGCCCTGACTTCTGTCCTTTGGCCAGGCAGGGCCTGTTAGGGGAAAACAAGTCCTATTTAAGGAATGATTCTTAAATCCAAAATGAGTCGGGCTGAATTCCACAAGGTCAAAACATTGCGGGAGTTTGTGTTTCCCTGCTGTCAGCTTCAGCCCAGAATTGGAGAACGGCACTCGGAGATCACGGTCTGTCACATCCATAATATTACTGCAATGTTTGCTTTGTAGCTGTGCTGTCAGATTAGCACGTATCCAAAACCAGGGGCAGTCTCCGGGCTCTGGGGCACCCATACACCAGCACTGAGTCCACTGGAGCGGGGCAATTGCTGCTCCTGTATCAGCATCCTTGTGCTTCAAACGAGCTTTCGTTCAAGCACCCCCATCTCCATTTTTAGGCACGGGGACACTGATACAGGAAATATGGCGGTGCTTTAAAGTGGCTCTCAGAGCCACTAATTCAAGTGCACATCCCTGGAGCACATGTAAAAGTGCCCCTAAAGACTTGCTTATGGAAATGTTTTCTTTCTAGCTGTGGACAGAGGTTATTTCCAACCCACTTAAATGGTGAGGGCAAGTTACTTCTCAGGAGCACTCATTGATTGTTAGGACGCAGCTGTTAAGTCCGCATGCTCCTAGAAGCCTTGGAAGTGAGCTAAATCAGTGACTTCTAACCCTGTTTCATTTGCGGTTTTGCTACACACGTGCCCGTCTAGGAGCACACGGATATCCTAGCTACAGCATACACCAGCATCATTGGATATTGGTAAAATTGTGACAGCTGTCTATACCCTAAAACAGGATTTGCACAGGAATAAAAATAGATTCTTCCTGCACACTGGAGCCAGTCCTTTGGTTTGGGAAAAAATCATGAAGTGGGAGCTGGAAATGTGAAAGAAGCCAGCTAATAACAAAGTTAGTTTTCGAGCCTGTTGTGCTCTGGCTTTGACCATTATTTCTGTTTAATCCCACCACAGCCTGGCCGAAGGGTGAGGAGAGCTTTGTGTCCGGTCTGTAGTTGTGAGCTTAGATGAGTGTGCGTGAATGTTTTGAGCTATAGGAAGAATGGGTGGTGGTTGTTGTAGAGGCAATTGTTAGGGAGTGATATAGGCTTTATAATTTAGTCATCTTGGTTACAGCCATTGGGACCAACTTTGACGCTTAATCCTAGCCAGATGTGTTAGCTGCCTGGCTCCTGTTGCCAGATGTGCAGAGTTTCTTAGTGCCTCTATTCTTGGCTGAATTCAGTCGTTCAACAATTCCCTGTGATATAAAAAAAAATGGTGGGAGGGAAGGGAATAATTTAAGCAAACTTTCTTCTTTTCCTCTCTGTCTTCCCCCCTCCTTTGCCCACACTGGCATTTCTCCTGCTTCAGGCAATGACATACACCTGGGCAGCTCCCTTTGAATCTTGCCACATTCACTGGGATTCATGCACATTAATGCAGTGCTCAGCGTTGAAGCTGCCAAGACGGTAGCAGAAAGAAAGCAATTGGCTTTCAAATCATTTTGCACCGAGCCAGCAAGAAGCCTTTCTAAAGCCAGCCCCTTTGGCTGCAGCACATAGCATGGATGGTACTGAAAATGCTGTTGGGCTAAAACCAGGTCAGCTCAAGCTATCTGCCAATCTCATTTCTGTGTCTCTGGCAGTTTTTCGAAGGCAAAGAGCTGCGGCTCAAGCAGGAGTACTTTGTTGTGGCTGCAACCCTCCAGGATATCATCCGACGCTTCAAAGCATCCAAATTCGGAAGCACCGAAAGCGTCCGGACTGTGTTCGATTCTTTCCCGGATCAGGTAACAATCGTGGGTGAATGAAGCCTGTTAGCATCCCAGATGCAAAGCTGTCTTTGTTACAGCTTCAGAAGTGTTCGGCTGTAAAATCCAAACAGCCCCATTGGGAAATGATCTGTTTTTCCTAACAGAAATGCTTTCCAAACTCTCCAGCCTCCATGGAGAGAACATCCTTGGAAAGCTGCTGGGATGAGCACTGCCCAGAATCAACTAGCTTTACAGGGGAGAAGACCTAGGCGTAATATTTAAACCATGTGTGTCATTTGTATAGGTAGCAATACAGCTGAATGACACTCATCCTGCCATGGCTATTCCTGAGCTGATGAGGATTTTTGTGGACATCGAAAAGCTGCCATGGAGCAAGGTTTGGAAAACAGCCTGTGCATTTTCATTGTGATGGAGACTAGAAAGCGCTGCAGAACTAGTCTTGTTAAACAGCATGCGTCTGTCTCGGCATATTTTTCTAATGGCATATGAGAGACTATTGCTAAAATGCTTAGTGCGCCCCTGTAATTTTGTTGAGTTATTATTGAAAAGGTCAGTTGGCTTCACAAGGCTGCAGAGGGCTTGCTGTGTCAACACCAAACGTGCTGCCTTCACCTGGGTCGCAGCTGTAGGCACTGCGCAAATCCTTGCATTGGTTTGCGTGCCACAAGTGCACATTTAACACACTGGCACAACACGTTGTGCATACAATTTGCATGTGAGCTCCTGAAAAGTTAGTCCATATCTCTTGTTGCACTTCCAAGCTACCTGCCAGCCTGTCAACGTTTCTGAACAAAGCTACCGCGTGCAGCCTTAAAAGCTAGGAATATTGGGCTGGAAAGGGTCTCCCTGGCCATCAAGTCTATGCCCCTGTGTTGCCAGGCCATTCTTTGTCCAAAAAGCCTGCACAAAAGCAACTAGGCTACACCATGCTTCTCCGGGGATAAACAGCAGCTGTGTATCACCTGCTTCATGAGTAATTTGTATCTTCAGCATGCGAACCACACTAGGATTTGTGGAAACAATCACTAACAGCCGCAGGACTGTCGTGATCTTTTGGACAAGATCAGTTTTGAACCCTGGTGGGTTGGAGTCCCATGAAGCTTTCACTGGTGGCCTAAATTTCACCATTCTGTATTGAGCCATGTGGGAGCCCGTTTATTTAAATAGACACTGTTTTACATCTTCTGCCCCAAAGAAACAAGAGTTGTCTTTAAGGATATGCAAAACCCTCGTCTCTCTGCTGCAAAATGAGTCTTGCAGAAAACTAACTGTCCCGTGCTTTTTTTTTTTTTAACTTTGCCTGAAATGCTTATTTCAGTATAGGCCGTGGAAGGGAAAGGATTGGCATAAGCACAGATTGAATGTTTGTAAGACAGTGGTGTCAGGGCCTCTGCTATGCTAGGTGCTGCATGTTCGCATAGTGAGAGGCAGTCTCTGCCCCAGAGAGTTCCCAGTTCATGTAGCCCAAGCCAACACAGGAGACGGGGTCCCTCCTTCCTGTGGGTGAACTCGGGCACAGACTCAGTGACTGGTACCCCTATATGACAGGGCTGCCCTTGACATGTGCACCTGCAGTAGGGACAAGGCCCTTTCTGCCTTGAGCATCGCATGTGTTCTCCTGGGGTCGTGCCATCCCCTGCCCGTTAACCGCCTGCCCGTTGCCCACCAGGCCTGGGAGATCACAAAGCAGACGTTCGCCTACACCAACCACACGGTGCTGCCCGAGGCGCTGGAGCGCTGGCCGGTCGACCTGATGGAGAAGCTCCTGCCAAGGCACCTCCAGATCATTTACGAAATCAACCAGCAACACTTGGACGTAAGTGGTGTGTGACGCCAACGATGAGCCTGCCCCGTGCAGGGGAGAGGGAGTGTCGGCATCCTTCTGTGCCCAGCCTGGTCCTGGGTGCTGCGATGTGCTGGCTTCTCCCTAGGGTGGAAATGGTTTTGGGGGTAAGGGGCTGGTAACGTTTTGACTACAGGGGCTGGGGAGAAGGAAGAGACCTTGTAGCATAAGTACAGCAGCTGCAGACTGGCAGCGAGTTCCTCTTGCTCGTATTTGGAATGGCTGCAGCTTAAAATGAAGCTGATTTTCCCAGTTCTTAACTAGACCTCCTGAGATGTGCACAGGTCCTCTCCTCTTGGAGTGGGAGGCTCCTAGCCGGGGACGCAGGGACGCAAACCTTGTGGACCCAAGGGACCCTGTGATGCCTTTGTGCTGCCAAATGTGCATTACTGATCTGCCCTTGCATTCGGGCTGGAGCCGTCAGCCTCCCTCAGAGCCAAAGTGGAGAGAGAACATGTCATGGCTAGGTCCTGTCCAAGCCCCTGATGAACCACTAATGCATCTATTTTTGTAGCCTGCTGTCATCTTAGCCCTAGGACTTGGCCACAAAAAGCAGCAAGGGGAGGAGGACCCCTCCCCTCTCCTTGCACTAATGGCTTTTCAGGGTGGGATGGGATTGCACTTAGACACTGTGGCGCATTTGTACACATGCTTGCGCCTCAGCGCCAGGCGCTTTGCAGCACACGTGGTTGTATGAGCAGTGAAATGCATGTCAGCGCTGAGAAAATGACAGCGGCACACTTTTTTGAACTAAAACACCTCAAAGGTGTTATAGTTCAAAAGTGCACCACCGCCATTTTTTGTGCGCCAAGGCGCATTTCACTGCTTATACAACTGCACATGACACAGCACAGTGTGCATCAGCTCGCACACGGAGCAGACTGAGACCGACCTGATTTCCGGCACGTCGTGGGACAAAACGGTATGTGTATAAATGCCCCACGGTGCCACTTAGAGGCCAAACGCTGTTCTGCCTAGTTCGTGAACTAGGCAACGAAGCCCTGGTGGCAGGGATAGAGGAGATGTGGGAGGAAAGGTGCCAGGCAGTTTGTGCTCCTCTTTGGGGAACCTTAGTCCTGCAAAGCCCTTGACGTGGCTTTTCAAAGGCAGCGCCTGGGCAGCGATGCCCCCCGAGTGGCTTGGAGTAGGGTGGGGGCAATGGGTGAAGGAAGTGAAGGAACAGCAGCTGTGATGCGGCCCAGCTCCCCAAGCCCTGCAGTGTCCTTTCAACCTAGGTGCTGCCGGGTGGCCAAGGGCTGGTGTTCCCAAGATAGTCCCATTAAAGCCTCTTCTGGGACGTGCTGGATATGGATCGTGGTCCTGCCGTTCAGAGGTTGCTGCTCCTTGTGGGTCTCACTGCCTGTCTCTCTCAAGCTGGGTATCCAGGATAGGTGGTTTGTCTTGTACCAGTTGTCTATGGTGAGCGTAGCCCCTTGGCAGTAGAGCTAGGCTGTTCATTCTGCTCTAACTTGTTCTGGAGTCCGTGGGATGAGGGGCTACGTTCACAGCTGTGCGCACAGATCTGTGATGAATTACTTGTTGGCGTTTTCTTTGCACATAGGCCACACGCTCTCCAAACTAGAGCTGGATCTAGTTACGGGAGGACCCGAGTCCCTCCCATGCTCTGAGATGTGGTCCTCAAGCCATCTCTGTACTGCTGTCCCTGCTTCACAGGTGTGGCAGGGACTAAGGCCTCTGGTGCATGTTGATTTAATGGTGCAATGGGATTTGATTCCCCAATCCAAATCATCCAGTCACTTTTGAGATCAGAGAATTGGGAGGAAGGCAGGGGCAGTGCAGGACTCTCCTGTGCAGGGCAGCTGAGAGCCAAGCGCCTGCATGTGGGCCTGACAACCAGCTGCGTGTCAGCCCAGACAGATAGTCTCAGGTCCCATTCAAGACCCAAGGCTGTCTGTAGACTGAAGCTGACAATTAGCTGACTGTCAGCCCCAACTCTAGACAGTCCTAGAGCCAGTTCACCCAGGGCTGTCCAGGCTGACAATCAGCTGACTTTTCCACCCCCCGGACAGCCCCAGGTTCAAGACCTGAGGCTGTCCAGGCTAAGGCCAATAATCAGCTGACTGTCAAAACCCTGCACTGGACAGCTTGGAGCAGAAGCGTCCTCTGTCAGGGGTTTTCCTGGCATCTCTGGAGACTACGAAGGAGGTGGGGAGGAGAGCAGGGGAAAAAGTTGTCCTTGCCCTGCTGGGGACTTTCAACTTGAGGCCAGGCAGCTCTGGTGTTTCTGGTGCCCCAGGGGGTATCAATGACTTGCCCTCAGGGATTTAGGCACCCAACTTTTGTAAAACCTGCCTTAAGCAACATGTCCAAGGCTTGACAGGAAGCCTGTGGCAATGCGGAGTATTGAACCCTGGGCTCACCCGTCCTAGACCCCTGTGATCTGAACGGCGCTGCCGCACCTGGATGCTGACTGGAGCCAGGCGCTTTCCCGGCGGAGGCACGTCCCCTGGCGTGCTGATGCTGGCTGGCCGCTGGATTGTGACACCCAGCCTGCTGCTCCCACCTAACGCCTGTCTTGTCTCCCTGCCTCGCAGAGGGTCTCGGCGCTGTTCCCCAATGACGTCGACCGCCTGAGGAGAATGTCCCTGATCGAGGAAGGGGGGGTCAAGAGGATCAACATGGCACACCTCTGCATTGTGGGCTCCCACGCCGTCAACGGCGTCGCCAAGATCCACTCGGACATCGTGAGGACACAGGTGTAAGCATGAGACCAAAAGGCGGGGGCTGAGTCCCAAACTGGAGCGGGCTCCTCTGACTTGGTTCAAAGCTTGTGATGCCAAAGCCGTGTCTAGAGTGCGAGCTCGCCGTGCCGGGTAGCGGTGCTTTTGGAGCCTGCAAAGCTTTGCATGCACCGCTGCTCCTCCCTGGAAGCCATGTTGTCCCATCTGCATGGGGATAGGATAATTGATGTTGCTGAGTGATGGCTAATTAGCTTGTCCCAGCACTGTGGGGTAGGGTGGTGCGTGAGAAGCTGCTGCTGCCAGCCCCAAGGAGTGTTGCAGTTTGGACGTGGCTTAAATCCCCTAAACTAAGCTACATCTGCAGTGCAGGGTGGAGCTGGGCTGCCCAGGGAGCAGTTAGATCTGGCTCGGGCACAGGCCGTCTTGCTGTGACAGCATGGCGCTCTGCACGGGCTGATTTTACCCTGGCGTGTGGAAGCAACAGAGCTAAGGCTGGCAGGGCTGGGCTGTCCCCAGCACCCTTCTGTTTGAGGTCACTTAGGAGTCCCTATGGTGTGCTGCAGAGCACCCATCTACAGTGCAGACAGGGTCTACCAGAAGCCTCCTAACATAGAATTGCAGAGACAAGGGGCTGGAAGGGACCTCCAGAGATCATGTAGTCCAACCCTCTGCCTGGGACAGGGTGCAAAATCATTGGTGGGCCTGAGTCAGGAACAATTATTTGGGAGCAGTGCAGGAAGGGAGGCAGGCTCTGCCAACATCTGGACAGTGGCTAAAGGGTTAATGCCCAAATGGAGCAATGGGCTGTAAAATAAGGGAGAAGGGTCAGCTCCAAAGCTGGATCCCCTTGCTTTTCATGGCCCAGAAACTGGGAGTTGGATGGGGAAAAGGTGGGAGCAACTTCCCAGGCATGTGCTGTGAGCTGGGGTAGAAAGTCCATATACCTGCCCTCTAATGGTTAGGTCCTGCTGTCTCTCTGCTTATCCCTGCTCTAATTAATGGGTTGTAGGGATGCAGGGAGGCCCAAGAGACAGGCAAGAGCCGCATTATCATTACCTGGGATCTCTTGAGCATCTATTAACAACCTTTTATAGAAGTAGGGCATTGGCTGTTGTGGTCCCCCTGCTTTACCTGCAGCAGGTTCAGGTGTTGTGTCTTGTGTTGTGTTAGGGTTGATGGTCATTTTACAAAGAACTTAGATTGTGGATTTATCTGGGATGGTTTGGATAGGGATGGTCCTGCCTTAGGCAGCAGGTTGGACTAGATGACCTCAGCAGGTCCCTTCTAGATCCACTTTTCTAGGATTTCTGTGATTTTTCCACTGGGCTTTCTCCAACTGGAACAACACAGTAGCTGTTTCAATGAAGCTGCGGCCATGAGTGGGTGTCTGAAATTCTGCTTGTTAGCTCCCACGTGGGGAGTTTTGTGCTGAGCTGCAGGACAGACCTGAACTGCCCTTATGCAAACCCTGGGCTCTTGATGACATTCCTGTCGGAGCCAAGGTGACCTGCATGCTGTGGGACTGGGGGTCTCGGAGGGGACTGAGTGCCGGTTCAGGAAAGCAGCCTCTGGCCGCCAGGCTTCCCGGAGTCGGGTGCTGACCTTGTCGTTGCCGCAGGTTCAAGGACTTTGCAGAGCTGGAACCCGGGAAGTTTCAGAACAAGACCAACGGAATCACCCCCCGGCGCTGGCTCTTGCTGTGCAACCCTGGGCTAGCGGAGCTGATAGCCGAGGTAACGGTGGCCTCTCTGGGAGCATGTGTCCTGGGAGTGGGGATGAAATGCCTTGAGGACCAAGAGTCTCAAGTGCTTAGCATGGGGTTGATCAGTGGACTCCTTGCTGAATGCTGTGGAGCCTCTCCCATCAGAGCTGGCTGCTCAGATGCTCGGGGCTTTGCAGTTTCCATGTAGCTCTGAGAACTGCCCTGAGATGGAGGGTACCACAAACTGAACCCCCAGGGGCTGCCCCAACCCTGGCAGGGCTGGGAAGAGTCATTGGGAGTGATCCTAGCTCTGTGTGCCTTGGCTCAAGGCCAGCATCATAGCAAGAACTTATCAAGGAAGTCACTTCCCATGTGCAGTGCTCCTGAAAAGGGGCTGCCCAGCCTGCCTCCAGCCCCAAGGGCAATGCCAAACCCCTGGCTCGTGATCTTGGAGAGAGCTCATGGCCCCTTATACAGCAGAGGCTGCGTGAGCCGGACAGTTTGGTGCATGCTTCACTTAGCAATTGCTCCTGGAACTGCAGGAGAGAGCCTGGAGAGTGAGCTTGAAAACTTTTTCAGCTCTTAGCTGGCAGGGCTTTGTCAGGGAATGGGAAACCCCGTGAGTTTTCCTTGCTGTTGTCATGTGGGTAATGCACGTGCATGCATGCATCCACACAAGCAGCAGACAAGGAGGCCCAAGGCACAAGAAAGCGCTGTGTATCGGCAGGCTTTCTTCAACAGGAATAATGCCAGAGCTGTTCCAAAACAGCTGCTGACGTGAGCGGGACTCGGCTTGTTCTCTCCCACATGAAGGAGCTTTGTGCCAGGCTGCTCTTTTTGTAAATCCCAGGCTCTTGGCTATATTCGTGTTGGAGCCAAGGGGACCTGCAGAACCTGGTCTCAGAAAGGAAACCTATTAAGTCCTTGATCTTCAACCTTTAACTCTTTAAACTGAGAACTCACTGCCCCTTTGCCAGCCTGGGGGTTGGTCTGTGCTGGGCTCAGCCACAGGCACTCTGTAGAGAAAATGGCAAGTCCCCACTATGCTAGAAGACCAGGAGTCACGTAGGCTACTTCAGACTGTCTGCTGCAGGCGTGAAAGGCCCTTTTGCTAAGTGCAGGGATGAATGTGATATATTTATATCTTTTTTTCCCATAACAGAAAATAGGGGAGGACTACGTGAAGGACCTGAGCCAGCTGACCAAGCTGCACAAATTCGTGAATGACGACATCTTCATTCGGGAGGTGTCCAAAGTGAAACAGGTGAGGCGGCCCCATCTCTCAGGGATGCTGTGGGCTCAGCTGGCTGCAGGCATAAGAGCATAAGAACTGCCATTTGACCATAGGCTATAGACCACAGGTCCACCTTGCCCAGTCTCCTGTGTTGCACAGGGGCAGAGCGGATGCTGACAGGGAGAGCAAACTGGGTCTGGCCAGGGTTTTTCCCCCTGTTCCTCTCCCTTGCAGCCTCCAGTATTGCAGATCTAGGAAGCTCTGATTCAGAGGCTGTTTCCCTCACTCCTGCACTCAATAGCTACTGATGCCCTTTTCCTTCAAGAATGGGTCCAATCCCTTTTTAAATCTAACTAAGCCGTTGGCTTTCACATCTGGTGGTAGCGACTTCTGCATTTTAATGACATCGTATGAAAGCGAACATCCTTTTGTTCGTTTTGGACTGACTACCTGCTCATTTCATTTTGTGACCCCTAGTTCTTGTATTGAGAGAGTACGTAATAATTTCCTACTGACTATCTTCACCATTTAGTATTTTGTAAACTCTTATCACGTACCCCTCCTCCAGCATCTCTTTTTCTAAACCAAACAGGCCTGGCCTCTTTAGTCCCTTCTCACATGGAAGCCCCTCCATACCACTAATCATCCTTGTTGCCCATCCTTGGACCTTTTCTAGCTCTTCTATATCCTTTTTCAGGAGTGGGGACCAGAACCAGGGGCCATATTCAAGGTGTGGATGCACCATGGATTGATAAAGGGGCATCATTTGCTAGGAGGGTGGTGAAGCACTGAAAGAGGCTACCCAGAGAGGTGGTGCAATCCAATACTTGGAGGTTTTGAAGATCTGACTAAACAAAGCCTTGGCTGGGATGATGTAGTTGGGGCTGGTCCTGCTTTGAGCAGGGGGTTGGACTAGATGCGACGTCCTGAGATCCCTTCCCACCCTCATTGTCTGTGATTCTTTTTTCCAAAAAAAATTGTGTGCGTGTGTCTCCACCTCCAACACAGCAGAGTGGCCCTTGCAGTTCACATGGCAGCTCAATGCACTCTAGAAAGCCCATTACATGGTTCATGAATGATACTTGAGGCTTCAGGGACAGGCAGGGAGCTGTGCTGCTGGGGCCTAGCACCCACCCGCCCCTGCCTTAGGTGAGTCCTCCTGGTCCGCAGCGCTAATGCCTCTCACTCCTCCTCCAGGAGAACAAAGTGAAGTTCGCCCAGTTCCTGGAGGAGGAGTACAAGGTCAAGATCAACCCGTCCTCCATGTTCGACGTGCATGTGAAGAGGATCCACGAGTACAAGCGGCAGCTGATGAACTGCTTGCACATCATCACCATGTACAACCGTGAGTCATGCGCCACATGGCTTTGGCAAGCACCGGGCTGGCCAGAGGACGTGCTAATGGCCCTGACACTAGCATGCTGGGTAACTTGGAGCTGAGGTCGGCAACCTACGGCCTGGGCAGATCACCTGCACCCCCTGCCTCTGGCCAGGCTGCAGTAGCAGCAGCCAGGGATTTAAGTCTCCGAGAAATTAGCATTTCCCCACCTCCCTACCCCTCCATGCTCAAAGGCACACCTCCTCCCCGGCCTGCCACTTGGGGGATGATGCCAAGGGGGCTCTTGCTCACTCCTGCTGGGCTGCATTGGGGTGTGGCAGCTGGATTGCCCTGGATTGTGGCAGCAGGCAGGCATGCTTCCCCCCCAACCACCTGTTCCCCCTGGGTGTTTCTTGCCAGCCCAGGAGCCATCACAGGGAGAGGGAATGTGCCCCCGGCCACTGCTACCACAGTGCCTGGTGAGCACAGGCCAGCTGGAGTGGGCAGGAGCCTGTTTCACTCCCAGGTCAGCACCTGGCAGCAGCAAGCAGGAGAAGGGAGAGAAGGGATGGGGAGGGGACATGGCTCTGAGGGCAGGTGGGGGGTGCTTGTCAACCTTGGGATGTAGATGGGGTGGCAGGAGCAGCAGCCAAGGGCTTGCCTGCCCCAGTGCGGGGGGAAGCAGAGGGAGAAGGGTGGGAGTAGGGAGTGCAGCCACACTTGCAACTGCACCCACCTTTGCCAAATCCTGGATCTGCCCTCCCTACGGCCCAGGGGACGGATCCAGCCTGCAGAACCTTTGGATCTGGCCTGCGGACGGGGGCTTCAGAGGCAGGGGGGCCCTTCTGCAGGCACTTATCCCCAGGGATGGGTTAAGTGCCAGCGGTGGGGATCCTAGTGCCCACCCACCCACCTCTGACCCAACGAGGGACAAAGCCGGGGAAAAGGTTGCCTATCCCTGACTTAGTCTTCCTTCTCTTTCAGGCATAAGGAGGGACCCAACGAAGCTGTTTATGCCCAGAACAGTCATCATCGGAGGCAAAGTGAGTTCACGGCAGTTCAGTCATGATTAGATATCCATGGGGCATGGGGGACCGATGTTTCTCATGTTAGCTGCTCTTAAAGAGCCGCTGCGGTGATATCTGAAGGCCTTGGCAGAGCTTGCCTTGCCCTGTGCCAGGCTGCTGTAAATGACAGTCCCTGCCTTGGATCTTGCCGTTTAAAAGGCTGGGCATAATGGGCAGATGAAACCAATGTGGACCGGGCTGTCGCAGCAGTAACAGGCTGTTCTCAGCTTTGTGCGAGCAAGGTGGCCGTCCTTGGCAGAGGACGTGGCCACCCGCTCTGGCCCTTCTCAGTAGATTTTGGTCTGTGCCTTGCATTCTAGGCGGCTCCAGGGTATCACATGGCTAAAACAATCATCAAGCTCATCACGTCTGTGGCCCATGTGGTGAACAATGACCCCGTGGTGGGGAGCAAGCTGAAGGTCATCTACCTGGAGAACTACCGGGTATCGCTGGCAGAGAAAGGTACTGGGCAGGAGCAAGAGAGAGGGTTCATCCCTGTGCTGCTTCCCTGGGCTGCCTGTGCCTTGTGGCTTGTAGGATAGTGGCATTGTGGCTAAGGTAAAGCTGATAAACAAGAGGCCAGAATTTCCTAATTGTGTGCAGAGGCCAGAGCCTGCATGCTCTCTGCATTGACAGCCTACAAGGAGCCAGCGAGATCCCTGTGGGATTTGCATCCATTTCCCTTTTAGCATGAGAGCTGGCCTGGGTCTGTCTGTTCCTCTTTCTGGAGCATGCTGCTTTTAACTGGGGTTCCTAGCTGTGCCAACAGCCTGGGAAATCCAGAGAGAAAACTGGATCTCCCTTTTTTTTTTTCCCCCCATTATTTCTAAGAATTGCATCTCTGCAGAGCCAGCCAGAGTGGTGGGGGGAACCAGCCAGGCCGGCTGCAGAAACTGCTTTGTCTGAAGTCAGGCACACCTGGGAATTGTAGGGAAGAGGACCGTTATCGTAGATCTTCCCAACAGTGCAATCTTGGAAGAGGGACTTGGCTTGAGCCAGAAGCCCAAAGCCCCAGTCCTGCCTTGAGCCTGGCCTGCCCCCAGTGCCCTGAATTGGCAGGGTTACAAGTTTCCCCTATGCAACATCATTGCATCAACTCTCCTGCAACCTACAGGGGACATAAGCGGGGTTGGTTTGGGGAGTCTGCAAATCCCTGTGAATGGAAACCACCCCAGGCAGTGCTGGGCAGCTTGCAGTTTGGGTGCTACAAAATGATGTTCTCCAGCTCAGCCAGGTAGGATGGGTCCCCCGCCGGGCTCCAGCTTGCGGTGGAGTTCAGAATCGAGCTGGCAACCCCATAACCTTTTCGGTTCGTTTCTTCGGCAGTGATTCCAGCCACCGACTTGTCCGAGCAGATTTCCACCGCCGGGACAGAAGCGTCGGGCACAGGGAACATGAAGTTCATGCTCAACGGCGCGCTCACCATTGGCACCATGGATGGGGCGAATGTGGAGATGGCGGAGGAGGCCGGGGAAGAAAACCTGTTCATCTTCGGCATGAGGGTGGAGGACGTGGCAGAGTTGGACAAGAAGGGGTGAGGCAACCGGCCAGCACTGCATGAGAGGGAGAAAGAGGGAACCAGAGCCCCCTGGGCTGTCCCTAGATGAGAACTGCTCTCTACACAGCCTTGGCATGGCTCCCCCCGATAGTGGTGCTGTACTGCAGCCGGGGCCTGAGCTAACCCTGGCTCCGAGCACAGCCTTTGAGAAGGGGTGACTTCCAGGCGTGCTGTGGGTGGAAAGAGCTCACATCCGTGTTCACCCCAGCAATGGGGTGCCCTTAGCTTTAGGTTTCATCAGTGCATGTTAGGCTTCTCTCAATGACTGGGCTCCTCTCTGCATTGCAGGTACAATGCTCAGGATTATTACGACAAGCTTCCCGAATTGAAGCAGGTCATCGACCAGATCAAGGGGGGCTTCTTCTCTCCGAAGCAGCCAGACCTGTTCAAGGATGTTGTCAATATGCTGTTCCACCATGACCGGTGAGGAGACATGAGCGCGGACTCCATCCTCTCTGGGCTCCCTTCCACCATGGCCCCTTTACACTGTCACCCAGCCAAAGAGACGCACGAACTTTCCTGACTGGAGTGGAGGTGTTTAACCAATAAGCCCAGTGATAACTGGTTATAGCTTACCAGTTATCGTTTAGCGCAGGGTCGGGGACGGTCTGGCAGGGAAGGTGTGGAAGGGAAGCTGTGCAGTGCCCCAGCAGGAACCGGGAGGCAGCAGGGCAGGATGGTTATAGCTTACCAGTTATCGTTTAGCGCAGGGTCGGGGACGGTCTGGCAGGGAAGGTGGGGAAGGGAAGCTGTGCAGTGCCCTAGCAGGAACCAGGAGGCAGCAGGGCAGGGGTTGCCATACTGATGAATCATTTAACCATTGTAATTGCAACGGGTTAAATTGATATTTTTTTAATTGGTATTTGCATACCTTGGATTGAAGCAGCTTGTATTGATGTTTGTGCTGGGAGTGCCCAACTTTAGATGCACATGGGCACTTGCCTTTGTCAGGGGGTAGCTGTAAATGTGTAAGGGCCGCTGGGAAGTCTCCAGGCAGCTCGGAGCAGAGCCTGCCCTGCCTCTGAGTGAAAAGGAGCCAGGATGTCACTTGCCTGCTCGCTTCCCTGCTTCTAGAAATGAGACGGGGCTGCTGTCTTCTGAAACGTTTGGACTTGTAGGATGGTGGCCTTGTGGCTACGGTGAAGCTGATAAACAAGAGGCCAGAATTTCCTAATTGTGTGCAGAGGTAAAAATGCCTGCATACCCCCTGCATTGGCAGCCTGCTACAGGAGCCATCGGGATCCGCATCCATTTCCCTTTCAGCGTGAGAGTTCGCCTGGGTCTGTCTGTTCCCTCCATGTAATCTTTACAGACAAGCTCTGCTTTTTTTTTTGAGGAGCAGAGCCTGCCCTGCCTCTGAGTGAAAAGGAGCCAGGATGTCACTTGCCTGCTCGCTTCCCTGCTTCTAGAAATGAGACGGGGCTGCTGTCTTCTGAAACGTTTGGACTTGTAGGATGGTGGCCTTGTGGCTACGGTGAAGCTGATAAACAAGAGGCCAGAATTTCCTAATTGTGTGCAGAGGTAAAAATGCCTGCATACCCCCTGCATTGGCAGCCTGCTACAGGAGCCATCGGGATCCACATCCATTTCCCTTTCAGCGTGAGAGTTGGCCTGGGTCTGTCTGTTCCCTCCGTGTAATCTTTACAGACAAGCTAGCACTAAATACTCTGCTTTTTTTTTTTGTCTTCAGTTATTTTGGATCTAGCCAAGACCTCTTGCTGGAGTGTGCTGCTTCTAGCTGGGGTTCCTAGTTGTCAACAGCCTGGAAAATCCAGAGAGAAAACTGGCTCTCCCTTTTTTTCCCCATTATTTCTAAGAATTGCATCTCTGCAGAGCCAGCCAGAGTGGTGGGGTGAGCCGGCCAGGTTGGCTGCAGAAACTGCTTTATGTGAAGGCAGGCACACCTGGGAATTAATTGTAGGGGAGAGGACTATTATCGTAGATCTTCCCAACAGTGCAATCTTGGAAGAGGGACTTGGCTTGAGCCAGAAGCCCAAGGCCCCAGTCCTGCCTTGTGCCTGGCCTGCCCCAGTGCCCTGAACTGGCAGGGTTACAAATTCCCCCTATGTAACATCATTGCAAAACTCTCCTGCAAACTACGTGGGATGTAAGTGGGGTTGGTCTGGGGAGTCTGCAAATTCCTGTGAACAGAAACCACCCCAGGCAGGGCTGGGCAGTTTGCAGTTCAGGTGCTATAAAATAATGCTGTGAAGCCTCTTAGGCACAGGCTGGCTTTCTCTGAGTGGTGGGTTGAGGTTGTGGTGTCTACAGGAGTACATGGATACTAAATGCTGTTCCCAGGACACTGCAGTCACCTTCGGTGTATGTTTTGGAGGGGCCATCTCCTTCCCCTGACCAGCAGCAATGGGATAGGATGGTTCTGCTCATTCTTCACGAAGGGGAGTTGAAGGTCTCTAACAGGTGTTTGGGGAAAACCTTTGTGTCAGAGACTGCATGGTGGAAATCCTTCTGACAGCTGTGAAGGGGTTAGTACAAGCCAGCGTTGCACAGCTGTTCTCTGCACATGTTGCTGCAGGATTTAAAATGCCTGGAAGAGCAACAGGACTTACTCACTCTTTTTTTTTTTACCTTCCCTGGAACAGGTTTAAAGTCTTTGCAGACTACGAGGCGTATGTCAAATGCCAGGACAAAGTCAGCGAGCTGTATATGGTAAGGGATGAAAAAGAGAGCGCCCTGGGGGCGGCTGGGGCAGAGCTGCAGCGGATGTGCATAGAAACTGCTGGGCACCTTTAAATCAACATGACAAATGCTATGGAGGGTATGACGGGGGAGGGGATCGCTCTAGGTACTCCCTGTTCAGGGCGCTCACTCTAGAGCAGCCACCCCTGCCACTGCTGGACTCGGGATACTGGGTTAGATGGACCACTGGTCTGACTCTGCTTGGCACTCCCCTGAACTACCAGTCGTGCAAGGTGTGGGGTGAGGCTGGTGTCTGCGTGGCTTCTAGTGAGGCTCAAGGCAAAAATGCAGCTGTACTAAAGCGTTTTCAGGGACTGGCACAGGACTGCAGTTTGCACTGGACATTTAAATCGTAGAAAATGAGGGCTGGAAGGGACCTTAGGAGGCCATCTAGTCCAACTCCAACTCTAACCCTGCTCCAACTAGATCATCCCAGCCCAGGCTGCATCTAGCTGGGTCTTAAAAACCTCCAAGGATGGAGACTCCACAACCTCTGGGTAGCCTTTTCCAGTGCTTTACTACCCTCCTGCTGAGAGAGTTTTTCCTTGTATCTAATCTCAACTTCCCTTGCTGCAACTTGAGCCCATTGCTCCTTGTCCTGTCATCTGCCACCAGTAATGACAGTCCAGCTCCATCCTCTGGTACCTCTCTTCAGGGAGCTGAAGGCTGTTAAATGTGTGTGAGCAACCTCTCCTAGCCGTGGTTGGAAGAGAGATTGTCCATTGCATGGATTTGTGTTGGCTGCAGCTGGATTAGAGGATTCGGTGTCTCGGTTGCACAACTCTTCTCAGAGAGAGAGCACCAGCTGGAGGGGGGAAAATGGGGCATAAGTCAGGGAAA